GACCAGCACAAGAACATGAAAAGAGGCCTAGGGAAAACGAACCAGGCCCTGCTAACCCTACTGAACCTACTTCCGACTGTAGCCTCACAGGCTCCCCAATCGTGCCTCGCCTTTGTGCTGTGCGTGGAGCCATGGCTGCTGGATCGTGGAGCGGTCCATGGGATGACGCAGAGTTCCAGAGCTTGCCGACGGGAAGCAGTGACCGCTGGCGCAGCTTGACTGGTGGGTGGTGGGTCAGGGTCCACGGTGGACTCCGATCCAGGCTGTACCACCCGGTGCACACAAGCACCCCTGTGAGGTGCGAGCACTTGCAGCCGGAAAGGACGACTGTGGTGTGGCATTGCACCGGTGGTCGACCCTGGACCCGGCAGGTGCACTGCGACCACTGGGGCTTTGGAAGCCAGCCTGTGCCAGGGGTTGGACAGTGGAAGGGCTTCACCTTCTTCAGGATCAAGGAGGGCAACCAGAGTGGGGCCAACAGCTCAGGGTTGCCCAGGATCCGACCTGATGTGGTGACCTGGAGCGATGAGGACCTACCACCGATGGTGAAGCAGGGTGGCATGTCAAGTGCTTACCCACCACCTGGGGCCAGAGAAAGCACCGAAGAAGAGGAGGCTGACCCAGGGGTTCCGTTTGAGCACGGGATGGTCCAACCTGGAAGAAAACCACCACCTCAGGCTTGGTTCCAGCGACAGAATATGCAGGGTTGGATGAACCGTATGGCCAAACCACCAGCAGTTCCAGTACACCATGCAATGCCAGGACCACCGCCAGCGGGTCCACCACCTCATGGGATGGCGGGATCGCTTCCAACTGGTCCGCCTCCTAGCAGTGCAGGGCAGGGTGGCCTGTCGAGTGTCGATCCACCGCCCGGGGCTGGAGCTGCACCGAAGCCGATGGCTGAGGGGTACTGCAGGCCAACTCATAAGTATGGCCGGTATCAGGCGCCTGCAGAAGCCGAAGGAGACCGTCCTCGTGGCCGACCTGGACCTGGACCTCGTGGAAGAGCCGCTATGGGCATTGGTGGGCCGATCGATGCTCGAGAAGAAGGCCGGATGACTTCGGCCGGATCTATGTCGATGGGAGCAGGACCTATGGGGGTCATCCCAACTGGAGCTGGAGATCGACCTGGTGAAAACCCGCTGCTGGCTTCTTTGAGGGTGGCAATGCGACCTCCAGAGCAGAACCCAGGTGGCTTGGCATCGTCGAGCTCTACGGTGATCCCTGGGGAGTGGGCCACACGAGGGGACCCGGGGCTGATTACCCCGCGGGGGTCCGTGGCTGGAGCATGGGCTAACCGGCCTACCTTGGTCGCCAAGGCCCTGGGCACTCCATACCAGGCCGAACGACGATTGAATCCTCCCCCGGAGGGCTTGGAAGAGGCTGAAAGCTTCCAGGAGGAGGCATTGGAGTCTGAGGCCAACACCAGTGATGACTACTCCCTGGTGTCTGAGGAGGAGAACGTGGGCGCTGCTGAGACTCCCGAGAACGAGGAGGAGGACATGTAGCAGAGCTCCCCTTTTTTTCTTTCTAAGACCAGCCAACGAAGCTTTGGTCTGGCATTTTGCTACGGCCACCGAAAAATGTTGCACCTGGCAACATTGGGGGAGTGTGGTGCCGTTTTCAAAGAATGACACGCACAAATCAAGAAGTGCTGTCTACTGTAGGACATGGCATGCAGTTTGGACGACCGTTCATAGCATGGCCCCTGCACAAGGATCTTACTGATTGCACATGGCTCAAGAAAAGGGCAGACTTTTGCACCTGCCTTTCGCAGAAACAAATGCTGAAACAAAAGAAACACATCGGAGTGCAGCATGCGAATCACAGGAAAATGATGAAAAATGCAGGACTGCTTAGCTCAAACGTCATCAGTGTCTCCTGTCTCCACACGTGATTCGTAAATGCCATTTCGGCAGAGTCAGCGATGGGATCTAAAGATTTCACCATTGACGACTGAGATCTGGTGAGAATCCGGCTGTCTGACAGTGCAGCTTCTGCCTTGGCCAATGCTCTCTCGGCTGCCCTCGACCTACAAGATCTACAAGACCAGAGCGCCGTTTTAACACAGCCATGTTCATGTGTGTCTTCGCAATGTTTTCAATTCAGCATAGCATCACATTTTCAAACCTGCATCACTTGCGAATGACTGGACAATAATAAATGATCATGAATGTGTGCATGCAGTGCATGCATATACCTAGGGATGCACCCATTGACCTACGTGCCTAAGGGTTTGGTCACTCCACGAACATCTAGGTAGCCTGCCTTCTTACCATTTCTTACCTGCCTGTCTCTCGTTCTGTCAACCCACCTTACATATCTATCTCACAACATCTCACAACTATTTTGCGTAATCTCATGTGTAACTTGACTGATATACGTTTGGTCTATTTGTAATATTTCGCGCCCCATTGCTTTGCTTGGTTTAGCTCCCTCCCCTGGATACATCCAAGGGTGTTTAATATTGTATAACATCACTTAATATACTGATGGCGTACGCTGGACACATGCAGATCTAGTTGTAGATTTCTTCACTTCAAATGTACACATCAGCCAGAACTTCTGAGTCGTACATGTGCTACATTCGGACCAATCAAAATCAGTTTGCACTGGCCCCAAGATCGCGCCTCTCTCTCCAGGCCTAAGTTTGGGTTTGCACGACAATATACGACAATCATGTGGGCCTTGACCAGACTTGCTGATTATAATTAATCTTATTTTATTATTCTTGATACAAGAGAGGTGATACATGATAATCATGACACAAATCTTGATACATACATTGTATGACATACGTACGTGACATGACATGCATAGTACATCTGTACGATACATGACATGATACGTTTTCCACGCTTCAACTCACACCATGACGCAGCATGGCGCTCCCAGCTGAGGTTCACGCTTGCGAAGCAGCACGGAACCAGGCGTCGAAAATCAGCCCGACCTCGGAACAGCCGAACCGCAGCCGCTGCAGCCGCTGCAGCCGCTACAGCCTGACAGCCTGACCCAAATCTAAACACCGCACCAGTCAATGTCCCAAATCTGTCGGAAAGGCACCCGCAATTTCCATTGAAACTTAAAGATTTTGAAACCAAAGCTCAATCCGAACTCCACATATCGTTGGAAGATGGAATATGTAGTTTGAATTTGAATATCCTAGAATATTTGTGATGTTTTGAACTGCAAAACTTTACAACCGTAAAGCCTTGTTGAGGAGACAAAGCTTGGAGGGATCTCCAAGGCGCAAACTTTAGGTCTCACCACCTGGCGAGGAGAGGCCTGGAGCTCTTTGATGATCCCTCGCAGTTGTAGCCTCGACATTCTTCAGACCATTGCAATCAAAATCATCAAACCAACCACCTCATAGCTATCCATAGCTATCCATAGCTATCCATAGCAGACTCTCATGGAATAACTATATGACTCTATGGAATCTCATGAGTAATGGTTGTGGAATGCTATGGCAACGCTTGGAGTATGTTGCACAACATCTATGCGCCCTGCGAATCATGCATCTCGCGCTCCATGTGTAAGTGCATCTCTGCCAGTCGAACCTGTGCGAAGTTGTCAAGTGCATCTCTGGAGGAATCAGGTAACTCCTGGAGATCTGATAATTGACCCTGACAATCCCCGACAATCCCTGACACGATTGAAGAAAGAATCACAAACCATGAGTCCTGGAGTTGGGAAACGTGATTTCCACAAAAACTCATCTGCACGCAGAAATGTCAGCCAGTTCACTTCACCCTACTGCATCTACAAAATGCTGCTGTAAGTTAATGATCAATGGCCTCGTCCTCTTGATGCTGCAAACGAAGACCTGGCAGCTGAAACGTGAGTCCACACATGTCACGTCAAGAATGGTTCAGGGCCATGCCCGCCATGCCCATCCTCACTTAGTGACAGTATGTGACAGTTAACTCTGCCAATCTGGCGGGGTGAAAGCGGGTGAGCCATGGTGCACTATAATGCAATGATGCACCATGATGCACCTCTGTTCTCATCTGCAAGCGTCTGAAGATTGGCTTCAAGCCGCTCGATGTACGCCTAGTCAGCTGCTAATTGCTGGATGCTACTGCCACCTCTCTGATGCTTGAACAGCAACCAGCTAGTGCTGGACGTCTCCACTCGATCCGATAGGCATCCCCTGGTCTTGCAAATCGATTTTATACTTGTTCGCACTTGTTCTGTGTAATTATGACAGGCGCGAATCGTATTCACTCCTGACGTTCCCCTCGCCTTTTGAAGAGATGAATCTTGATCGTCTTCATATGGTCCCTGCAGAGCAAATGCGGCTGAAGTCACTTGAAACACCCCTGAAAGCAACGCAGCAATGCCGGACACCTTTCTCCCTTGAAGCATCTTGAAGCCAACACATCCCCAAAAACACACAGGAAATGCATGAAAAAACATGGTGGCAGCGTGAATCACCCAAGGTCTATGTGGAGTCTCCTTCACTTTGGTCCGGACCGGCTTTCTTTCGCTCACGGGACCTCGTCGGGCAGAAGCAACAGAGCTGGCAGAACCAAGCCTTCTGGAAAAGGCAATGCTGCATGAGCACTGTTTTCAACTTTGGAGCCACTTTGAAGCTTTCCTGTCATTCTCTCTCTTTCTCTCTTTCTCTCTCGCTCTCTGGCTTAGTGCTGAAGTGTTCAGATTCAAAGTTGTCAAAGTCTTCTTGCGTTTGAGCCATTCGAGTGTCATTCTATGTCATCACGTTGTCTACGACATCAGTATCCGTCAAGGACGTTGGCTCCGCAGAACTTCTCTGCTAGACGACACGCTGCAGCTGTGCTCCTCGACAACATGACTTCCAAATGTGTCCAAAGCGTATCGTGTCCAAACGGAGAGAAAAAATACACTAAATACTACGGTTCTAAATGCTTCAAGCTTGCTTGCGTCGCCCAACATAACAAGAGACCTCGCTTCTAAATCTTCTAAGTGGGAAGATGTGGGAAGCATACCCGTAGCCATAATTCGCAGCATTTTTTCTTGGCACTTGATGTGATTTTATATATATATACATATTATGTGTGTGTGCGCATGGCATTGCATAGCTGTTTGACGCTGTTTGTATCGTGGCATAGCCGCCGACTTTTTCGGCCCAAACGATCAGAGCTCACTTCCCAGACCTTCCAGTGCCCTGGCCATGGCGGCCAGAGAAAAGGTCTCGGCAGCGGTTCAGCATCCATGTTTAGCCGTCAATCTTCAGAGGCGGTTGCAGCTTCATCCTGGCACTGACTAATCTGGAGACCTGTAACGCGCCATTTCTCACAATGGCTTCAGTGGGCCGAGTACTTTGGGCACCCATCAGGTACCTGGTGATGAAGGCAAGATCTTCCTTCCATCTTCCAGCGTCCACATCCAGCACGCGGAACTCTTTCGTGGGGTTCTCGATGTTGGCCGTGCGGCAGAAGCCCCAAAGGGTGGAGTGAAAAGGCGTCCGAATACCTGGACTGTTGGCAAGTCTGGACTGTTGATAGGTTAATCTTGGTGACTTGATGATGATGAATGAAGAATCGTAACAAACTGTTTGACATCGACATCAAAGGTCGCATCAGGCAATTACATAATTTCCAGAACAAAACGATGTGGCTGTGTGGCTATGCGGTTTAGAAGCATCTCAATCCATAACCAAGTTATTTCCAACAGCCCACCTGTAGCAGAGGCAATGTTCTGAGTGGATGCCAATATCACATCCAGGGCATAGGTTTCTTCAATGACCTGCAGTGCTTGAGTCAAACGGATTGCCACATCTACCACCTCCAAGGGAGTCATGTGGTTCAGCTTGGTGACATCATAGACCACCGATGCGCAAGATGAGGCTTCCATGGCCGTTTGCAACGAGCTTGAGGTCAACAACCGACCATTCATCAAATTCACAAAGTAAGGTTTCTTGGATCCACTTGATCCACGTTTGGCACGGCAAGCAGCCAACTGATTCAATAACTTTTGATCCCGAAGCTCACTGGCTACAAAGATCTTTCTGGATCCACTGGAGCTTCGTTTTTCACCAAAATTCTTGGGGTCTTGGGTTTCTGAAGGAACCCAAGCATATTCAAAGACCACCTGTTCCTCCATGATGTTCTTGAGATGTTCCTCTCTTTGCCTCTGCTCCTCACTTTTCTCTGGCTCTTTTTCCGGACTAGTGTGACTAGTGTCGACACTGACTGTGGTTGGAGATTTGCTCATGGCTTCTTGCAACTGCTGCTGGGTTTGCCCCAAACTCTGCAGCAATTTCACCACCATATTCCGGCCGTGCTCATCCCCACATTCAGTAAACAAACGTAAAGCCCTGTAGGCTGCATCCACCGCCCCATCCGTATCCTTTAGGATGAAACGGCAGTTGCTGGCAGTTTGCAGAGCTATGGCCTCTCCTCGCAAATCACCTAACTCCTGGAAAAGGACTTGACTTCTCTGAGCAGCATCGATAGCAGCACTGGGGTTGGGTAGTTCCTGTACCAACCAGGCCGTAGCAGTTGCTTGCAATGCCGCGGCCTCGGCTTCTTTGCAGGCACTAGCACTAGCAAAGCTGACACAAGCGTCTTTCAAGCACTGAAGGCCCTCAGAGGATCGGAGCTGTAGCTTTCCAAGGAATAAGATGGCCAAACCATAGGTGAATCCATCCCCCACTTCTAGCACATCATTCGCCACTGCTTTCGCCTCATGCAAGCAACCCCGAAGCTTGAAAGCCAAAAAATCGATGAAACACAGGCGCCCAGCTAGATCTGGGTGGTCACTTTGCTGAACTTGCTGAAGGAGGAGTCGCAGAAAATCCAGAAAAGGTCCCTGCTGGGAGTCCCAAGTAGATTCCGCCTCCACTTCCTTCGTGATTTCGGCAGCGTTTTCCCCACGCAGCAAATGTACCATCTGCTGGGTCCGAAGCACCAGCACCAACAAGTTCTGCCGCTCGGAGAAGGGTAAAGTTCTGGCTGAGCTCACTGCCTCCTGAGTGAGTCTTAAGGCTCTGTGGCTGTTGTCTCGCATCAAATTCAAAATGGAAATGAAAGTCTTCCAACAGATCTGCTGCACCTGCTGGGCCTGGGCCTGGGTCGCTTCGCAGTTTGATAGCATCTCCTCTGCCAACTTCAGAGCATCATCACTTGCCAGTTCTGCCCGAGAGGCTCCCGAGCCCAAGCCCAAGGAGCCGAAGGAGCCGAAGGCTTCAGAGTCCAAGGTGTCCACCACAGCTGCGGCTGTGAGTCGCAAGATCCAAGTGATGCCATTCTTGGCAGCTCGGCCTTTGAAGTACGTCAATGCCTCTGCCAACACCCGACCATGTCGTTGGAGATCAGGGGTGGTCACACCCATGGAACTAAGGCCGCCACAATGTCGCAAAGAAAACAACAGAGAAACCTGAATGTGTTCACATCTTGAGCCAACTTCCTGGAAAGGTACCTGTGTCAACTCTGTTGAAGTGGACCTGGCGATACGATAATCAAATTAAATCCTAGACTGCAAATTGCGGCAACCAAATAGAGCACCGCAATTTCC